GTGCTAGGAGTACTGTGAGGGGAAAGGGGACAAGAGTGGCTGATTCTTCACCCACTCCTGTTGGTATAATAAAAGAAACTGGTGCAATGGTTGTTTGGGGAGAGGAATTTAGTGAAATAGAAGAGAGTGTGAGCAAAACAGGGGGAAGTAGGTCTGGTGAAGCTGCTGAGGGGTTGGTTCAACTTGGCAAAAATATAGATGAACCCGTTCCATCTGAATAGGAAACCCTCGCGGACCTACTGATAGAGTTATCAATGGCACCAAAACTCATGCCATTCCCTATGGTTTCATTCTCACAACTGTGCTTGCACATTTCAAGGTACCTATGAAGAAGTGGGGTTAATACTCTGCTTGCTTGCGATTATGAAGTCAATGTCATTCTTAATGAACCTGGTTCATCTAAAAAGACACCTATCAATAGCAAAGTCAGAATCTTGGTACAGGAGAGTGAGGCAAAGGATATTGAGATAGCAAGGCTGAAGACACGATTGGTTGAGGTAGAATCTGAGAGAGACGTTCTCAGAACTGAACTTGCAAGGGAAAAGGAGAAGAATGATGGAATTCTTCAAGACATGCTGAAACTTCTCCAAGCAAATAACCCTGCCCCTACCTCTTCCAAGCCTTAAATCCTAAACTAGTGTAGATCAACCAGTGACACAATTCGGGACTTTGTTTCTTTTGCTCATGTTTTCAGTATTTTTATTTCTTCTTATGCTTTGTGGTAGAATCTTATCAATCATCAATGAAATTCACTGTTTTTGCTCTAACTGTTTGTTTATATTTCTTTGATGGTTTAAATTCTTAGCTTGATCTATGATGATTAATTCATGATTGCATTTGAAGTAGCCCCAGTGGCCATGAGTAAGCTTTAAAATCTGGTTATCTCACATTTTTTATGCAACTTTTCAATGATGCCAAAAGGGGGAAAAAGGTTGTGCTTTAAACAAGTGATGTTTACACTTTGAACAGTGATGTTTATAACCTATTGTACCTGGTCCTTGATGATAAGTGATATAAAGGAAAAATGTTTCTAACATTGTGTTGATGTTTGAGCTGAGTTCTGGCAGGGCCTAAGTGTATGAAAAGCACAGTATTTGTCATCATCAAAAAGGGGGAATTTGTTGGCCCAAGTAAAGGTTAGTTTTGAAGACTGACAAAGGAACTCAGACATGAACCAGGTCCATCCAGTGGTCCATCCCTCAGGTGCACAAAAACGGGCAGATTCAAGAATGTGGGTTGCACGTGAAGGAGATAAGCTTAACCTGGTGTATTTAATATCTCCCGATCGAAAAGGTTGCATAATTGATAAGAAGAAGGAGTCCTTAATCAAAGAGAACACAATTCAAGATAGGGAAGGAGTTAGAAGTTGAAATCAACTAGAACTCTTCCACCAAGGAAGAGTTGCATCAGAACTCTAGTTATTTCTTCATCTACTAACTCTATAAATTGCAGGATGTTCTCACATTAAAGTGTTGCACAAAAACGCAGAAGTTAAACATGAATTGGGAGCAAAATAGCAAGGCTTTTTGCAAGCAGTTCGTGTGTGATTCAAGTGTGCAAACCAGAAGCTACATGAACCAGATTGAAGAACCAGCTCCATAAAGAGTTTTATGTGTCTTTCTTTATTTCTAGTTCAATTGTAGTAGGTGTTTCATATTGTACCTTTCAGCTTTATCTAGAAGCAATTGTAATAGGTATTTTGAGTATTCAAGTTAGAGTTAACTTGAAGTTGTCGCAGCAGTTAGAGGTTGGTTGCTACAACGGGATTAGAGGTAATCCTTAGGTTTACAAATAGTTTTGTAAATGCAGTTTTTGGCTCAGTGATTTTAGTGGAGTTTGGGAAAATCCTACTGAGTAGTAGGTCGTGGTTTTTTCACCTTTTGAGCCAGGTGTTTTCCACGTAAAAATCTCTGTGCACTTTACTTTCAGTATTTATTATTTCGCAAACTGCTGCAGTTAGAACACTTAGAAGAACCAGGTTCTTCTAACGCGAAAATTAGGTACCACAAAAATCACCCCCCTTTCTTGTGTGGTATTGACGTTTATAACATCACACGTTTTCGTTGTCTTCCCTGCCGTCTTCATTGATGGTGTTCAGGATGTTGGCTGTGACACCTGCTATTGCTTTTAACCTTGCATCTCCTTTTTCCCGCCATTGTTAGTTTATGCAAAGCTGGGAAGAGATGGCTATCCCTTGTTATGATCTAGATGAAACTAAAATCTTAACTAACGAAATCCCCACAGACGGCGCCAAATTGTTTGACCAAAGATATTAAAATCTTTTTGATTAAATCAGTTAATGATAATGACGGGGTAAATCTTAGTCAAGCATAACCAAATCTAGATCAAGTGATGGAAGAAGTAAGCAAGATGAGTAATGCTATCTAATACGTAGGAATCAAGTAAATGCTCATAAATGCGACAACTTAAATGCACAATCAATCTTAGTAAATACGATCGGCGCGTAGAAAAGTAATCAGTATGAGATGATTAAGGAATCTTTGGATCTTCCCAATCTCGTATAATGATGTATATATCTTTTCATGCAATCAATGAACAAGGCAGCTTTTGTATTCACTCTCAGATGAATCTTTTTACAAAGTGTTCTTTCGTCTTTTTTGTGCGGATCCTCTTCTTCTTCTTCACTAACCCTCCCTATTTATAAGGGTCAATCTCCCAAGAAACCCTAAAAAGTACAATATAAAGAATGTTCGAAAAGCATATTCTTACTGTCCCCTATTAAGTTTAAACTACTGTTGACATCTCGTCTCGACTGACCGCTCTTGGTCGTCGTCCTTCATTTCGACGACCATCAGATGTTACGTCATGATAACCTCGTTCCCCGTCCCACACGGTAACTGTCGTGGTTGCCAAATTTGGACCCATACAAAAATAAATTCACACGTGATAGAATTTTTATTTTTAAGTTGCATTTCACCAGTTATAAAAGATTTGAAAGGACTAAAATTGAAGGGAAAAAGAAGATTATTAGCCCTTAGAATTAGCAACTAAAAGGAGTTTTTAAATTTAATATTAATGGTCGGGGAGTGTGGTTAAGAATGACATGATATTAGTAGACGTAGATATTTTGAATCTAATATTTGGACATAAAAATTGAAGTTTGATTGACGTACGAGAATTCAGTTAAGTGTTTCTGTATAGGTCAAAATCTGACTGGGAATGGTCGTCCTTAAGTGGGGTAATAAGAGGTCGACCAAGCGGCGGTCATGTCTATGGGGCGAGGCAGCAAAGAGTACCTCGGCCATCGTCGATGTAAAACTGGTGAAAGGTTTACCTCATAGAAAAGATGAAGTGCACAGTCGTCAGAAAATGCGCTGGTCAAGGATCATTGGATAAAAGGAAATTTTAGTATATATAGGAGGGGAAAACCCAGAGAAAGGGAGGATTTTATTTTGGTCCAAACAACTTCCATAGAAAAGACAACAAGGAGAATCTCTTGATCATCAACAGCTCCCCCTCATCCCGTCCTTCGCTCCCATGTTTGTGGCGCAAGTCTGCCCTAGATGTAAGCTCATCACTCCTGTTTGATGTACAAATGTTCTATGAAGAAGTATTACACGCTATTATTTTTCTTTTATTTTCACACTCTATATATTTAGATCTGAGATTAATTATGTTTGACTAAGATTTACATTCTTATCGGAAACAGCCTCTCTGCCCTATCGGGGTAGGGGTAAGGTCTGCGTACACATTACCCTCCCCAGACCCCACTTGGTGGGATTTTACTGGGTAGTTGTTGTTGTTAAAATTTACATTCTATAATATTAGTAATTAGTTAGACAAAAAGTGTTTTATACTTTTTGCTCAAACATTTTCGACAACCTAACAAAAAGCTAAAGAATTCAATGAACTCCAACAACCTAACCAAGTGATACATAAATTAGCTGAAGGCGAACTAGCGAAAAAAGATATCAAATAAAAGTTTCACCTCCAAAATTGGAATTGAAAAGCAATTGGTATTAGGCTAGATGGTGATTGTACCTGAAACTCAAAGAGCATTGAAAAAACCACCTACTTTCTAAAGGCTACTTTTCGAGCCATTAGTACGTAGTTGGAGATATTAATGAAATTTCCACATTTGGTTCCCGTAAACCAATTTCTTTCCATCCCAAAATACATCTAAAAAGTAAAATATTGTTTTGACTTTCAAAAAGAGAAGTGCAACAAACTTTTTTAATGTGTATAGTACTAAGTACAGTACCTATTACAGTGAGAATGGCACGTTTGACACATTTTGTATATATTTCCTTGTTTACTGCGCAAAGTGAGACTTTTTAGTACGAATCTAAATTAGTCGAAAACCAAAACTTGTACCCGACACCGGCCAGAAAACAAAAAAGCATACGAACTTTAAAATTTTAGAAAAATCTATGCATATGAAATCCAATTAGCGCATGTCTAATTAGAAACGGAACAACAAATCTTTTTGGTTCTCATAGTACCCTCGGAATAAAAAATTTGAAAAGAGGTCCATCTTATATTTGATTTTGATCAGGAAAGAGCTAAGAGTTCGAAAAAGGTGTAATTACTTTTCGAACTACTGAACAAACTGAAGCAAAAGAGTTGGCTCCGTGCTTTTTTTTATCTTTGTTGTTTCCCATTCTTGTATGCTTGATTCACTTTACATTAGTCACGGATGTGCTGGTTGATGATTCTATGTATACCTGCCATAGATGTGCTGGTTGATGATTCTCTGTATCACACTCATAAGACCTTCATATTTAGTGGTAAAAGTAAAAAATCACCGAGGAACTTTTGATGAGAACATTCAGTATAATGAAATGCATAATGCGTCTTATATCTTTGCCAATTTTCAGGGAATAAATAGATAAGCAAAAGAGGCATGAGTTTTTAGCAATTCCTTCTTATCAATCACAATATACCCTTTAGAGAAAGAAGGGCAGGCCTATGTAGTAAATAGCATGCCCGGCTATCTGCAGCTGCATGATAATAGATGCATTTCAAGAAGACAGGAAAGATGAACAAGCCAAACAGGGAAATGTTTCAGTATGCAAAAAGTATTCATTTCACAGGGGAGAGATGTCACGCTTCATTATATGACACCCACTATATCTATTGCCATGTTACTGGGCAATGTCAAAGCTGTATGAGACATTCATGTATATGTACAATACACACAGTTTTGAGATAGCAACCATGCCCTCCCTAGGTCACGATTAAACTATGACCTCAAAACAAAAAAAAGAATGGAGATGGATAAAATGTATGCTGCTTATTGCCTTACACTATACTGTGCAGGTAAGGAAGCAACTTGCTATCGATTTTCTGTGAGGTTCAGACAATGAGAATCTGGGATGACCAACCTCAAAAAGTGAGACCCACAACAACCATGAGAAGCGGAGATTGGACTACTGATACACAATTCATGAAGTGCTGACTTCTGCAAGCCAGAACAGGTTAAGATGCAGCCTAACAAGCCTGAACCATGGAGACATTGAGAGTTAGCATTTTTTGCAAGGAGTCCAGATTACTCAGAGGTCGGCATGCAGGTGGGTTCACCTAAGATAAATAAGAATCTCCAGGTAGCTGAAGATAAACTCACGAGGTATTAAGTGCTGTGTTATAATCTATTGACACTGATTTGCGTTTTATGGGCATTGTGTAATCAGTATCATCTTCGAGATCACTAAACGAAACATCCTCCTCATTCACAATAGCACTGCCCGAATAACCCTCTAAGTCAGAGTTGTCTTTCAGCCAGTCATCCTCATGCTCGTCATAATCAAACATTGGTGGTTTAAAGGATGGACCAGCTAACACCTCCTTTTCAATTATTTTGCTTGGAGGATCCTCTTCAATAACTGCCTTGTCAATAAACTGGATCTCTGTATTTTCAATTGAGTGCTTCTCAGTTTCAGTGTCAGAACTAGTATTGCAGGTTGGGGGTTCAAAAGTGAATGTTCTATGGAGCATAGCATATCTAGAGTGAGCATCTTCAGATGAGTTTGATTCGAAGTCGCCACGAGGTGAATACGTGCTCTCCTTTGCGTGAAATGTATCTATCCCAAACCAATCTGACTCTGGCTTTGTTTTCTTTTGCAGCTCTTGCATCCACATAGCCCTCGCTTCCACAAGCTAAGGAAATGAAAACAACAAAGTTACAGCTCATGTAAAAAGTCTAGTATGTATAAGTTGTATCTCTGGAACTGCTCTCCAGATGAACAATTTAGTTCCCTCCCACCCCAAGAAAAGAAAATCGTCTTCAGGATTCCAATTCCAAAAGCTGTTTTTTTAAAATGCCAAAATACAAGAAAAATAAAGGTAAGAGAGAGGGCTAGCTGAGTTCCCATCAAAATTGTTACTCAATGCAATTAGGGGTGTTCACGGTTTGACGGAAAACCGATCCAAACCGAAAACCGAACCAAACCGATTAAGTAAACCGATATTTTTTCTGATTTGGATTGGTTTTGGTTTTAAATTTTAAAAACCGATAATATTTGGTTTGGTTTATCCTGTTATATCTTAAAAGATTGCCTAAGCCCAAAACAATAGGATTCGACCAATTTTCTTTTCATTAATAGACTCTAATTCTCTAACCCTCCGCACATACTTTTGCCTAAAAGAAGAGGTAAAAAAAAAAAATCACCACAAGAGTAAAGAAAGCACATTCAAATTGCAAGACAACAATGGCTAAAGCTTGAGAAAGCAACCTTATAGTTTGGTTTTTGTTCATTCTTTTCATATAAACATGTAAATAAACTTTCAGTTCTCAAAGAAATATATAAAAAGCATAAATTTGGCAAATGATTTTCAGATTGTTGTCTAGTGTTGTTTTTATATTATCGACTTATCATTAGCTTACTAAGAACCGAAAAACCAAACCAAACCAACAACAATCAAACCGATGGTTTGTATTTAATTTGGTTTGGTTTTGATTTTAAAATTTTAAAAACCGATTAAATTGGTTTGGTTTTGGTTTTAATCAAAAACCGACCAAACCGAACCGTGAACACCCCTAAATGCAATGATAATGCTGTAAACAGGCAGCATGCTATTAACAAACCTGAGGTGTAGACAAAAGCTCAGTGTCATGCTTGTTCAGTCTTGAGTAAAGAAGAATAAAATAGACCATCCAAAAGTAACCCTCACTCATATGAGCAGGGCAAAGTTCAATTCTGAGCGCAGCCAGCCTCGGCGTCAGATGTTCAACTGCATATCCATGCTTCAGTTGGGCATCAGAGAGCTCAAAATCTAAACAAAGGAGAGAAACTCAATTATTGTGCTTGAAAGATAACTAAAGTAAATCAGGACCTCAAGATCCGATCATCATCAACAACCTGAATAGTATTATAAAACAGATGCCTTAAAAAGTTGTCCTTTTTTTGCTACATGATTACCAAGTATTCCCTGTGTCCCAATTAATGATGGAACACACCAATAATGACATTCAAAAATTTAAGTAATTGACATGTATACTAACAACTCCTTCCTCGTCATATTTTAATTGACAATATTGATTGGATATGGAGTTTAAGATGTTAATTTGTCTTGTATATTCCATATCAAAAATCTGTCTTGTACATTATATTATAATTTGAATAATATATCAAAGTAATAAAGAGTTAGTCTGATAGATAAAACATCATATCAAAGTATTAAAACTTAAAGAGTTAGATGAATTTAGAGTTATAAAAGTTGTATATAATATATTACTAGTAGAATGTCATCAAAAACTTTAAGAGGTCCCAAATAGAAAGAATGTCATATAAATTGGAATGGAGGGAGCAACATTCTACATGATGTTCACAAAACTGGAAATATAAGTTCATTTAACCAAACAACTTTAAACTTTTAAGTGATATTTTTTTTATAGGAATAAGTTTTAAATTATCACCTTTACATTTTGTTCCAAAAATACTTATACACTGCACAAGTCAGAAGTTTAATTGTTAAACTGGTGCTATTGGATTCCTAGGAACAAATGAAGGTAAGAAACTATCTACTAAAGGCAGTGATCTTGACAACTTGATCATTGGAAGTGAATTAACAACTCTGTCCAACCAAAGGCATAACATTTACTTCATTAATGTTTTTATTCTTTCAAACAATTGAGTAATCAACTTAAGGACTGCTATATGCTCTTTGAGACGTCATTTAAAAGGCCAAACCCTTCATCCAATGATATTAAAGGATAGAATATAAAGAGTAGACCTCAAACCATGCTGCAGACTTGTAATCTTGGATATAACATGCGAGTTCACACGATGTATATCACAAAGGAAAAAGATTGTTACTCACACTTTCACCATTTTGGTTGACCTACTTCCTATTTTAGTCCACCTTAAAAATGACCTCTTCCTTTAAATGGTATAGTCTACAATATTCAATGTGACAGATCAACATGCTTTACAGCTTTATATAATGAATTTGATACGAGACCTCTTTTTTTCCAACTACTAAAGTGTCCTATTTCTTCTTAACTCAAATATAAAAATTCATCCAAGCCTTCTTCTATAACTCTAATCTTCATGAAAATGCTGAACCAATTTGAGTACCATCCAGGATGTCAATTTTCATTAAGAACACCCACTATGTACTGAACATTGCCTTCATTTGGGACAAAATTTGTTCTTATTTAAATTATTTATAGGTTTATTTTCTTTCCCCGTCTTTTGCTTTCATCTCTTCTTTTATTCTTTTTCTTATGTTGACACCATAAGATGCAGCAGAGAAGTCTCTCTCTCTCTCTCTCTCTCTCTCTCTCTCTCTCTCTCTCTCTCTCTCTCTCTCTCTCTCACACACACACACACACACACACACACACACACACTCAGTGTGTGTGACAGCAATCATCTCTCCAGACAGCACAAAAATCAGAGGAAATGCTCAGATTTTCGTCTTGCTCTGTTCTTCTCCTCCCTGTGTTCATTGTGCTCACTCTCTTCCTGTTTACTCCCTTTCTAGAAACTTGGTGCTGGAGGTTTATTGCAAGAACTAACTTCAAATGCAAAAATTGCTTTAAGTAAATCAGGGTGGACTTAAATTGAGTGCAATTATTGCTCTTCTAGCTGGATAGATGCTTATGTAAGTTACCAGCAGAGGTTGGATAAAGAAAGTTTCTACAAATGCAAATGTGGATTAAGAAAGTCAATTCTGCAAATGTAAATATGATGCTGGAAGCTACAATTAGATACTGAAAGATATGATCACTTCATAATGTGCTAAAGCCTAAGGGAGTATCTCTGCTGCAGAATTTTGCACTTTATTCAGACCACACACTTCATGCTTTTTCCATGAGACTCATACGACTACGTTGGCCAAGTCGTTCGTTTTGGGGACCGAAAACGTAGGCC